TATAGGAAACTAAGGGTGTCTATATACGGGCTCTGGCCTGGGGGCGCGAGGGTGATTTAATTAGAGCAGCCGCTCTAATTAAAGTGCCTGCTGTGTCATGTGTATTCAGCATCCTGCACTTCTAAATTGCAGTGAGGGTGCTTTAACTAAAGCTCATTTGACTAATTGAGTCTGCTCAGACATATGCTAATTAGAATGTAACAGACCAGAGGTCTGTCACATGTATAGGTACCCTAAGGTATCTAGTAAACTAGATCCCTTTTGTGTTCATAAGCAATGCATGGTTTGAACTCTGGGCTCCTGAATACTTCTGTGATCAAAGAACATTTCCTTCTACAACCTAGCCCTCTAAGCCCAAAGCAGCACAGATGGTTTACTGCCTCTACTCTTCTCCACAAAAAATCCTGATGTCACAAGGATTGTACAATAAATTGAAGTTGCTGCTGTCTGCAGGGTATATGCTGTGTGATAGCCTTGCAGTCCTTTCTGGACACCATATCCTAACTGTTCATGTATTACTCCAGCTCAAGAGGGGTAAAACAAAAGATGATATCTCTACTTATGACACAACCACCAGAGTATTTTTTCATTTAAGGATAACATGATCGTACAGAAAAACAGGCAAGTGGTATCGTGAATCGCTTTTGTTTCCTTATTTGACGATCTGAAGTTGTAAAGCAGGGATATTCTCTGGAATCCAGTCACTGGGAAAATCTTACAATTCTATCTCACCTCAATTGATTCTCTGTGGGCTGCCTTCTTGGTAGCTTCTCGCTCGGTCTGAAATTGCTTCCTCAAAGACTCCAAGCGTTCAGAATACAACTTTTCCCCAGTCTTGGCTTCCTCAATCAGCTGCTGCCTTTGAGAGAGAGAAAGTAGATCACAACAAGTGGATTAATACATGTTAGAAGTAGGAACATGTGGTCCAAAAAGAAAACTGTAGGAAAGACGCATGGTTCAACATTCTTTCCCTTGACATGCATGTGCCTTATTTTAGCATGTTAACAATTATGCAACCCTTAGACTTTACTTTGGTTTTGAAGCATAGCAATCTGGGGAAATACTCAACCTGCATGTTGAGCATGCCTATTTCCCCAGCATCAATACTGATGAAAAGGCCAATGATAAAAAGAGTTTCTCTTTGCTTTAGGGAAGCTTTCTCAGTGCTAGTAGGTGAGACAAGAAGAATGAAAACAAGGTACACTGGTACTTCATGTCAAAGAAAGTTATGCCTACCAATGGCAGGCAGTTTGTAATCTCCAGCTTAGCCCTTCCACATGACAAAAAAGAAGAGGCTACCCTCTTTGCCAATATAACTGGTGGCACTGCAAGGCTGTCCATGGGGAATGTCCCACATGGGCAGCCCTCAATAGTGTTGTGGCCTTTCATTTGGGGCTACTTCACACCATCCCTCATGAAGAAATTCTAGGCTCCATCTCCAGGATTCCAACATGGAAGAAAAGCCTGAAGAAGCAACTGCATCAGTAGGAAAACAGCACATTCACATGGCTTTACTGCTGGATTCATGAAACAATATCAAGGATGTTGCTCGTACTGATAGCCCCGCCCGCAGCTGCCTCTGGTGTGCTCTGCCTGGGACTGAGTCCTGCCCGAGGCAGAGCATGCTGCGCTCCCAGCCTCCCCCACCAGCAAGCACATCTTCTGAGCAGGACTCCCGCTGCTCCCACTGCTCAGGGAACTGCTGAGCTCCCCCAGCCTCCAGCAACTCAGGAAAGGGCAGGAAAGCACCTGCTGGCAGCAACAACAGAAGCCCCTGCAAGAGGGGAGGGAGGACAGAGAGCCAAGCCTGGTCTCTGTCCCACACCTGCCTGGTGGGGCTGCAGCAGAGCCTGCACTGGCTCCTGCTGCTGTTGCTTCTCTCTCACCTGCCTGCTCAGCAGGGCTGCACTAAGTGCGGGCTGCCTCTGCCTGCCCGTCACGGCTTTGTGAGCTGCTGAGCTCCTTGACACCTCTCCTCCCCACTCCATCCACACACTCCCCTGCCTGGCACAAGCAGGACTGGAGTGATCTGCAGGAAGAGCCCCACTCCCCTCAACACTGCAGCTTCCCCTCTACCTGCAGCCCAGAGCACTGCAGCAGGGACAGGAAGAGTTGCTGGAGGCTGGGGGAGCCCAGCAGTTCCCTGGTCAGTGGCAGCTGTTCTGCTGCAGCACTCCTGGCAGCAGGTAGGGAGAAGCTGCAGCACTGAGGGGAACAGGGCTCTGCCTGCTGCTTGCTCTGGTCTGGGGGAGTGTGTGGATGGAGGGGGAAGTTGGGGGCATGAAGAAGCTTGGCAGCTCACAAAGCCCTGATGGGCAAGCAGGGACAGACAGGAGGGGGAAGCAGCAGCAGGAGCAGCATGTACTTGGTGCAGCCCTGCTGGGCAGGCAGGTGAGAGAAGCAACAGCAGCAGGAGCCAGTGCAGGCTCTGCTGCAGCCCTGCCAGGCAGATGTGGGACAGAGACGAAGAGAGCTGGTAGTGCCAGGCTTGGCTCTCTGCTCCCCTCCCCTGTTGCAGGGACTTCTGTTGTTGCTGCTGGTTCTGTTGGTGGCGGCAGCTGCTTTCCTGCCCTTCACAGCATGCTGCAAGCCAGGCAGGCAGTGCTAAGCAGGACATCCAGTCACAAGATGGTGACCAGGGAGTAGGGCACCTGTCAAGGGGTGGGGTATAGCCTCACCAAAACTTGTTAAGCGGCCCTCCACCTGAATAATTGCCCACCCCTGTTATAAGCCGCGCTGTTAGACTTGAGAAGACAGTCTTCCTAAGCTGTGATGCCTCAAACCTATTCCTACCTGCAAATGATCAGCTTTTGATGCTCAATTTCTTTGCCGTCCAATTCACCCTGGGTCTGGGTCAGCTTGCTCTGCAGGGTACTGTTGGTTTGCAAAGTTTGTTCCAAACTAAGGGCAAGTTTCTTGTTGTCAACTCTTGCAACTTCTAGTGCTTTACGAAGTGGCCCCACCTGAAGGGTAAAGAAAGTTCCAACTCCAGATTTACATGAATGAACACCCCCACACAGCAAAATGTGGGGGTGTTCATTCTCTCTCACCACTGCCCCATTAAAAGTGAAGGATGTGTATCCTACTCAGTCTTAGTCTATGGGGAGAGGAACTCGAATCACCAGCTGCAGCCTGAACAACAATTAAGTCATTAAGTAAAGGCTGTAAACATATTTATTTGCCTGATGCAGACCCTTAATTCATACACTGTTCGGTTTCAAGGTTCCACATTGTGGCAAATATCCTTTTACACACAGACATGGGGCAGGATTTGCTTCAAAGCTTCTTAACAGTAGTACCCTTAAATCACAAGCGATTAGCATGGAGTGATTAGTAACTGCCAGCATGCACACTTACCCCATAGTAAATGATAGCTAAATGGTGATAATCAAGCACTCAACGAAAAAGGGGTTCGAATTAGCTTTCATTTACCACAAGGTAACATTGCGGGAATAGGCAGTTACTGAATAGCTGAGGCACAGTAAAAGTCCTGTTGCCCCGCAGTAAATTGCATGTCTATGCATACATGTTCTGTATCCAGTTGAGATAGTCAGATGTTTATCAATCTCAAGGCACCCTTGTATAGAAAGGGGGCTTTACTTGGCTCCTTCATCTCCTGTAAAATGATTCCTCCAGTGTTTTGTGTCTTTTTTTTTGTCTTAATGAGTTAATAGAACACATGCCCCCGCAGTCTACTTTCCAAGAGAGCATGAAATCTACTTACTATGACTGGAAAAATTTGGTCTCTACCTGGTTATTGTGCTGGGTTTCTATGAAAACCAGTTTGGCCTGGCACTGCTCCAATTCTGCTTCTAATCTCTGTATTTTCTGTTGGCTTTGGGTTCTGCGAATGAAAGCAGAGACAGATTAAAGAAAAGGCAAGCAACTAACACCAAAGCCACCTTTCACTTTCTTCCTCCCAGAGGAAAGCTATTTAGTTTCTTTTTTTTGTTAGAAAACTAAATAGGACTAATATTAAAATTTTGTTTATTTGCTCCTAACAATTTGTTTTGCTCCTGATGATAATGGAACTAGCTCCAACCAGTAGTGTCATATCACTTGACATATTTCCCAAGCATCATGTAAAGATGAGACAGAGGTAATTTGGTTAATAATCAATTGGGTCCTGGCATCTGCAATCAGCACCATCCATTGCAACCAAAACCCCTCCAGAGTTGACTAGATGTATAATAGAGTAATTAGTCCACTAGTACTAAGTAGAGCTCGTTGCTATGCCTCCTTTCTTCCTTGTAGTATTACAAGAAGCTACAGGAATTCTGAAACTAGGTTTTGGTTCAGTAAAAACTCACTTATCAATCTTGTATAGTTTTCTTGCCTGAACCTCAGAAAAAAGGCAGTGATTAAGTTATTTCTTCTCTTGATCCTGTTGTTTCTTTGCTATAGCAACATAGAAAACCAGAAGGACTTCAGTTACCTATCTTTCCTGAGGCTGGTGATCTCAGAATCCTTGCATCCCAGCTCGGTCTGTACCTTCTCCAGAGCTGCCTGCATCTTGCTATGAGAAACCAACACGTTCTCCAGTATGGTTGTCACTTTGTCATTAGCCTCCTTTGCTTCGTTTAATTGGTGCTGTAAATTTGCCACCTAAGTACAGGACAGCAAGCAAAAGCTGGGGGAAAATTAGTTAACTCAAAAAAGACTACTTTGGTCATACTCTGCTCCCTCAAGCTCTGGAAATATTTGGTCTCTTTCAGTCTACATTTGGAGGCACCCTGACAGGAAAAAAAATTCTCTGGATTTCTCTCCACTTCTCACCCTTCTCTCTATCATAAAAAAATATTTGTTCATCAGAACGACTTGCCATTCTGGCTAAGAATGACACACTAATCAATTAGTCGAACATGGAGGTGTTTTTTGGCCTTCAGTTCCTGTTGACCTAAGGAATGAGAGCATGACATGAAATTTAATAGCATGCTGTAGTGTTGTCCAGTTTTAAGTCAAACATTTAGTGGGTTGCATTTTGTCTGGAGATCAGTGGCGATGTGTAGGAGGTGCAAGAGGGTGAATGTGCACCCCCTGACCGGCCACGCTCGTCACTTAGGCAGCGGGTAGGGGGGGCCCGCGGGAGTGCTGGTGCCCCCCCTGCAAGTGCTGGCTAGGGTGTGGAGCACTGTTGGACTCCCAGAAGTGGCTGCAGCTACTCCTGGAAGCAGCCACAGCAACTGGCCACAAGGGGCACCCTCATCCCCGCTCCGCCAGGGTCAGCAAGATCGGCCATGGGGGATCCCCACCCCCAAGCTGCTGACTGGTCGCTGCAGTGGCACGTGACCCCACTAAGGCGGCACCAATTGCCCATGCTGGAGACTGTCCCATACTATTAGTCAAAGATTTAAAATTGGAGGCTGCCCTGTCTCATGCCTACTCTACACCGGTATCAGCTCCACCAATTGCAAGATAACACCTGACTTACATTGAGAGAAGAGAATCAGGTCCTAACTGTTAAAACCAAATCTTCTATGGATTAGCCCTGGTGTACTTTCCTCAATACCTCCTTGCTACTGACACAGTCTATCTACTTTACCAACAGCTGTCAACCAAAAAAGGAGCAATGCAACAGAAATATTGCAGAGGATTCCATAACACCCTAAGACCAGCAGAGGGTATTCTATATACATTCCAGATCAACAGTGGGGTTTGTTCAAGTAGAAACCAAAGGTTAATTAGACATATTAAAACTTACAAATCCTGTGCTGGAGCCTGAGCAAGGCTATATAGCACAGGCTGCCACATTTGCAACATTTTTTTAAACTCCTGCTTCCTTGCCTTATGTCTCTCTCTCTCTTCCATGGCTTCCATCTGTCCCTTGATCTTCTGACACTCTCGTAAGGCTTCATCTCGGGATTTGACTGCCAGAGCGAAGTCATCTTCCTTATGTTCAAAAACAGTCTGTGCCTTTACAAACCAGAAAGAATAGAGCAAATTCTGCTTTTCCAAATCACAGGAATTTGTTCTGCTAGCTTACAATTTAAGGCAGTGATGGGGAAAACATTCACCAGCTAAATAGTTCAGATACCCTGAGATCAAGAGACCTTGATTATTAATTTAAAACGAGATTTATTTTTAAATACAAGCACTCAAAAAAGTTGGCGGTTCATTTTTCAACCATTCATCCAACCTTAGAAAGGGAGAAAAAGAGGGAAATTAAAGCTCAAGCTCTAGTTTAGGTGATAGCAGTTTCCTTCAGATTTAATTAAACTTTTGACTTCACCAAATGGAAATCCAATATTTCCCCAGACTACAAATAATAACAAGAACTACAGACATCAATGTTAAAGAGAGAGCTCTGTGTTGTCTCCTGAATCCACTGACAGGATTCTTTCCTTGATTTTACTTTGGAAGAGTTTTTTCTAGCTTAATATATTCTTACATTATTAGTGTTTAGTTACAGTTTCTCACTATATAGGGCATCCCCTCTTCAAAAATGTCTTCATTTTAGTGCATATATCAGACTAATACTTGCATTTAATACAAGGTGGTTAATGCTGACAAAGAAAAAGATTTTACCAAACCTTTCTCTGTTACCCAACAAGAATAACAAAAAAAAAAAAACACCCCCTTTTAATAACTTCCTCTGAGAAACTGGCTATAAAATATAGCATAATCTTTCATTCCTTAAATTTTGTGTGTGTGTGTGTGTATATATATATATATATATTTAAATTCTTTTGCTTAAGCAAAATCAAGGAAGATTTACTCTGTGCCATCCAGAGCAAGATTTTTTTTTTCCTGTTTCATGCCTTGAAACTAGTAAGTCAAGCTTAAGCCTCTGAGTTGGTTTCCTATGAGTGGATCTAGCACCAAGGTAGTATCCTCAAATGAAGCAATCCTTTGTCTTTTTCCCATTTTAAATCCAAGTTTAAGTTCCCATTTTTGCCTCCAAATGAAGAAAAAATTCCAAAGTATGAAGCATATGGCACTAGTCAGAAGGTGGTCTGACCTTTAGCATCAATGGTCCAGAAAGCAGGACAACTAGATAAAGCCAAATCTAGAATTCCCCCAAAAATCTTGATATTTTTTTCTTACTTAACCAGTTTAATTGACCTTTCCTCTTTCTGCGCAAGAAACACTGAAAAAAGCCTTTTGTTCATAGAATTTTCCAATTTGCCCTCATTTTAGCTAAATCTATCCATGCTCCCAAAACTGCCAATTTTTTCAGCTTCTAGGTTGTTTCTTGGTCTTCACTCACCATCTGAAAGTCATCTTCACTGAGTTGTGCAGACCAGTCAGTTTTTAATAGTCTTGGAGTGATTATGTCTATTTTACCCTCCAATCTTTCCTCCATGCTCTTAATAGCTTTTAACAGAGTTCTCAGATTGATTCTTGGACAGTCTCCACATTCAGAAGCACACTTCCTTGAATGTACACGTGGGATGAAATGAACCCGGTGTGAAGGAGGATGAAGAGTGGAAGCAAGCCCACCAAATTCCACAGCTCCTCCTCCAAAACAGCACATATCTGGCCTAACATACTGTGAGGGCCTTGCAGGGGATTTTCTTCTCTTTGGTGGCATTTCTGCTACAAAATTAATCCATCCAAGGAGGACAGAGGGAGAAATTAACAAAAACAGCCCTCAAAATATCTACCCATTAGATCAGCAGCAAAGGCCACATTCATGGATACTACTTGTTCTGGCCTGAATTATTTATTGGAAGATCTTGTGCTGTAAGGAGTACCCTATGAAAGCAGTCTTGAAGAACCATTTACTATTTTTATAAATTTTCTTTCCTGATACATTCCTGCAGCACTTTATCCGGGGAAGCCAAATCACTGTGTTTTCATCACAGCCTTGCTACCAGTGCAATATCGCCAGGACGGTATTGGAACTATGCATGATGTCACTATGCTCTTATCATTCTAATTTAACCACATTGTGACCTCAATACATAGAATGTAGCAGCAAAGTTATTTGCTATCTAGAACTTCTTGTGGTATTTTGTGGGGCAGCAGTCTAATGGTTCTGTTTTATGACTCTTCCCATGACTTGACCATGGAAGTTCTCATGGTCATTTCCTTCTATTTGTAAAATGGGAATATTAATGTTAAGTTGTAAGTTATTTTCCCAAAGTTTGAAGGTACTCAGAGTGGGAATCTGAATTGCAGATACCATAGTACCTGAATGCCTTAAGCTCTTACACTGTTGACTAAAATTGGTCTATTTCTTGGATAACAAGTAAGGTATAACTGATAATAATCAGAGGTGCACTGATGCATTGGCTCGTATCGTATCAGCACTGATAAAAGGAAAACTGGTATTATTGGCAATTAGCTTTTTTCTGGCTGATGTGGCTGATAACGTTGCCAATAAATGCTGCATGCATGCACAGGGCCAGGAATGCAGCCTGGCAATTTGGAGAGCAGCATCCAGCCGGTAAGTCTGTTGGGAAGAAGGGGTGTGGAGGGAGAGGAGTAGATTGAGGCCCCCACAGTGGGAGTGGGGCTGGGCCAGGCGTTGCCCAGTCAGGGCAGAGCAGGGCACAGGATGGAGCCACATGCAGCTCATCCATGAGATGAGGGCGGTAGCTCCCCGCACTACGCGCGCTCCCAGGGGAGGCATGGGGGGGGCATGTGCTCCCCGGATCTGCATGCGGGGTGAGGGCAGGCTGCTGCTGCGGGCTGGGGCCAGAGCCAGGTTTTTCCCCCAGACAAGCTTCTCACGGCTCCGTCCTGCACCCTGCCCCACCCTAGCTTGGCAGCACCTACCCTTGCCCCAACCCTGCTCCCTCCCTCACCATGGGGGCCTCAATCTGTGCCCCACCACGCACCTTCCCTTCTGCTTTGCAACGGACTTACCAGCTGGATGCTACTCTCCAAGCTGCCAGGCTTGCATATCAGCAATTGGATTGGTATTGGCTGATATAGCCCATTAATAAATCGGCCATCAGTATTGGCCCAAAAATCTTTATTGGTGCACCCCCAGTAACACTGAATATAAAATTATTCTTCCTAAAATGGTAAAACATCCACATAAGAAATCTTTAGTTACTAAATTTTTTAGGCTTGGCTAAAATTGGGGGAAAAAAGCCCAGATCCACCTCCTTAACTCACTTTTCAGCCAGGTACTCTAATCTTTGCTGAACTGTCCATCAGCCAGTGAACTAAGATCAGCTTGCTTGTCTTTCCGAACTTAATCTCCAGAATCTAGGTAAGAAGTTATTTTCCTTGGCAAGTTGGCCACCTGTTAGAGTAAGACTACATAACATTATGATTTGATTTTTTTTCACCCTGTATTAATGCTTCTTTTATTATTTTAGAATTTTTAGTACTGCATTATTTTTAAGCAGCAGTTGATATGCTTTATTTTTATTGTCTTAGCATTTATCTGTTGTCTGTATTTCAGTATTGGAAATGCTATTAAAATGTATTTGAACTCCTTCTTTGAACAGTTTTATTGGGGCAGGCTTTTTGAAGTTTTCTTGGTCCCTGGAACCTCTGCGGGGTAAACACCTCATAGTGAGAGCTAAACATGAAAATCCTGCAACCCCACAGATGTGGCATGATCCAGCTTGAACATACACATTTACCCTTCAGGAAACAGATTTTTTTTGGTTTGGTACCTGCTTCAGCTGAGCTTCAATCCTTTGCATGTTAATCCTGACAGAATTAAGTTCTGTGTTCACCTGAAAATTATAATAGAAGTTTAATGCTAAAATTAACTGGTGCTTTGATATTACTGGGGGAAGTAATGAGTTTGATTTCTCTAGGTACAGTTTGACTTGGGGTTGAGATGTGAGGCATGATCTGAATTTTGTACCTGAGTATATTTGGTCTCCAATGCTGTATTCAGCTTGCGAAGCTGGCTATTCTCTAAGTGTGCATCTGCAAGAGATTGCAATTCTTTTTCCAGCTCCTGGACTTTGGTCTAGAGGAAAAGCAGAGATAGTTGGCAAACATTTTCCTGCACTTTTTTAGTATGTGAAGAGAGAGAATGGGCTTATGAAGGCCACAGAAGCAGAGATGGATTTTATGAAAGCTAAAAAAATTTGCACTAAGCAAAGTCCCACCCCACCAGAAATAACAAGAGTCCCCTCATTTTATCTTCACACAAAAGCAAAACTGAAACACCAGAATTCATTTTAATTCGAAGTTCAATATAGTATTTTGGTTAGTCACTTGTGATTATCTCCAGTTGTAAGGGACTCTAAACAAAACTGCTACTTTCTCATTATTTTTAAACAACCACCATTCTCTCCACTTGCTACCAACTGATTTTTTTTTTCTTTTCACAAGCACACCAAAAATCCTTGCACTAGTTTCTCAGATTTTATTACATCCATGACAACTCACTGAATCTCAATTTCACCACCATTTCTATTGCCTGTTTACTTTACTTTGTTTTTTTTATCTATGCTTACCACCATTGGCCACATCTAGACAAGTGAAGATATGAGGTATGTGGCGCCATAGACAAGTCTGCAGCACCACACATATAGGTGTTCCCCATGCTGCTACCTTTCAGGAGGGGACTGGGGGGCTTTTGACCCTCCCCCCCCACCAGTTGCTGGCTCCAGCCTCCCCTAACCCACCCAGGGTAACCTGCTGTGTGCCAGAGCATGTGGCACAGGTGCTCCCTGGGCACAAGTTGCAGCAGCACACAAGGTGTGTATCACTGCTACTTGCCTCCAGGGAAACAAACACCTGTGCTCATCTGGACACAGCCACTGTCTATTCCCTTTCTATTGTATCCTTTAGAATAAACTGCATAGCTAAAACATCATATTTTCAGGCTTCTACAGTTATTTTCATATATCCTGTGGCTTGTTTACCAGGAACCTACATAGACATTATATGAAGTATGTCCACTTAAAGTTTTACCTATCAGCAAAAAACGTTATGACTGAAATCAAAGGCAGTTTTAAATACAAAACTATTTAAAATTTATTGCTAACAGTGCAAAGTAAAATTCAAGAACTTTGTTCCAAATGAAATAGTGAAAAGCTTTGATTACACAATCCCGAAAGATGTGCTCCTACTGTGAACAGACCAAATAAAAGGTAGTGAGATACCTGAAGCTTTCCTTTGTCGTAGGCAAGTTTATTCTTACTATCAGTCAGTTCTGCTAGAATCTGTTCTACGTGCTGCTGGGCATGCTGGGAAAAGAAGAGCATAGGTCACCATCTCCTAAGAAAAACAAGCCAAAAAAGGAACCTGGGCTTCAGTGTTTTGCCTCTACCTGATTTCTATTCTTTTTTCTCTCTTGATGAATTACTGTAATGTTCTTGCTCATCTAAGTTGTTCCAATTTTTCATATGAAACAAACAGTAAAGGTCATCCAAGTGATGCAACAGAGCAGAAGAAAGATGTATTCACATCTCCTTGGGTCTAAGCCACCCTAGCCTATAGGTAAAAGCAGAAACAGACTTAGCCATACAGATGGCCCCAGGATTACAGAACATAGCATGGCTCTTAGGCAGCGAAAAAGTGGATGGACAGATGCTCTGGCAAGAAAGAAGGGAGGTGTAAAAGGAATTTGCAGGACACTAAGAGAACAGAGACAGCAGGGGAAAAATGGTTTAGAAATGAAAGCAGGTAGAAAGAAATGAAGAAGTGAAAAGAATAACTGAGATGCTCTGGTTTTAAGTTTCTGACTGGTATTTACTGGGCCTACTCAGTGAACTTAGACAGCTCACTGGTAAAAACACTGCAGCTAGTCTAAAGTAATAGTCCTACCAATACTAGCACTGTTTGGATGAGCAGTGCTATAGCAATAATAGGAGATAACTGAAAAAAAATAACAGGGATTAAGTCTCAAAGTGTAAACAGCTCAGGGAAGCTATGTACAAAAATATTAAACATACTTCCATTTTATAGTGTATATAGGCAAAAGTTCCATCCATACTAAAAATAGAATAGCATCACAGAATAATCATGTCACATCTTGATACCTTCAGGCTGTGAGGTCATTTTACTTGATTCTAAATCCCACATGGATGTTAAACCTTCTCACTTGAACAAATTCAAAGGGAAACTTATAAAAGAATAGTGACATGTCTTTTCTTCCTCAGTCTCTTAGTTTCTTACATTTTGCATCTCTTACATTTCAGTGATTTCCAAACTAGAGAAACATAAGATGGCCAGAGAACAGCTTAATCACTGGTATAGTTACATGCTAGTCAGGACAACAGGAGTTACCCTATCTTATACTTAGCGACCTACTTAAATTGTTGCAAGACAAAGGGTTTTTGCAGTGCATAAAATTGATTTCATGGGTATTTTGTGGCAGCTCCACTCCTCGCTGCCAATTAGCGGAGGGGCCCTGGTGGCCCTGTCTCTTGCAGCAAGTTGGCCAAGAGACAAAAACCACATAATTAAATGGCAAATTCCATGGAAATATCATAAATCTAAGTATTGGATTTAAATCTAAATCTTTGTATTCTAGTTAGCATTCTTTGGGGTCAATTCCATGGGAAATCATGCCATTTTTTGTGGAGATCGCCGTTTTTCGTGGTTTCTGCAAAAATCACAAAACCACAATTTAAGTAAGTCCCTACTTATACCTAAGGGTGACGGTAGTCAGCTAACAGGAAAAGCAGTTTACCTGCTGGTGTTCCAGTGCAGCTAAACGGCCCATTAACCTCATGTTTTCTTCCTCTAATGTCTGCAAAGTGGATCTCATAGCACCCATTTCCAACTGTAAAACAAGGGAAAATACAACTTCAATCATGCTGCTTTAAGGTTTCTGCTTGGACACAACATGATCTGTGATCCAAACTTCAATCACAAAGCTACAGATTATACACAGCCTCTCCCCACTACATCGAGTTGTTTGCTTTTACCTTCCTTTCAGCAGTTGCAATTTAGTCTTCCCAGCCTTTCATTTATCCAGGCTATGCAGATTTGAAAGAGCTACATAGATAAGATGCTAGAGCTCAACAATCAGCTGTGACTAAAATTTATGTTTATGGTATCAGGTAAGGCCCAACCAAGAATGTTGGCCCTTGTGTTCTTGACCAATTGAGAACGTTGGCATGTGTGAAGCTTTGTACAAAAAGTAATAAGTGGTCCCTGCCCAAAACACTTTACAATCTAAATAGAGAAGACAGACCCAATCTAGGAAAACTATAAAACCTACAGAGTGAACAGTGTGATGGTGCCAAATGTCATAGTAGTTCCATTAATGTTTTGGTTTTAGACTAAACTTACTTAGAAGAAATAAAATAAATGGAAACTGGAAGGGGACTGGGTATGAGGAAGATGGGCAGTATGGAATGAGCGATTAGGTGAAGAGATTGTGGAGGAGGGAAAGCGTTGGAATGAACAGCCAGTCAGCACAGGACAAGGAAAGTCCAGACAAAACTGCTGAGTCTTCTGAATGTCTGAAGATCCTGGTTTTAGCTGCTCCTGCAGCTGCTCTTATTTGACTGGATGTAGTTTTTGGTTGGTTTCTTGCTTCAGGTTTTCCTCCAAAGCCACAAGGCAGAAGGGTGCAGATATACCAAGAGGCAACACCTGTGTTCTGATTTGGGGTGTCCTCCCTAAGTCCAGGGGGAGGCTGGGGGTAAGGGCAGTCCAGCTGGGTTCCATTTTTATCTACTTCTTTTCACAAAGTAGTACTCCCTGCTTTGGCTGCTTCTGCAGTTGCTCTTACTGGCTGAAGTACTTGGCTGGTTCCTTTCTGGAGGTTCCTTGGTGGGGAAAGCTACCCTGCAAAGTGCTGGGTCCTAGGTGGATGTGGCTGCCAGTGTCTGCAGGCGGCTGCCACTCATTGCTGCAGGCAATCCCTGCTCGCTGCCACAGACACCGCTGGCTGCGGACAGTCCTTGCTTGCCACCCGCCCCCACCATCAACATGGGTGCCAGTGTCTGCAGGTGGTCCCCGCTTGCTGCCATGGTGCCCCCCAGTCTCGGGAGCCCCCAGTCATCCCTGCTGCTATTGTTTAATGCCTGCCCATGCACAAACCACTCATGGTTCAGGTCTCTCTTGCAATTTTCAATGTGTTGCTGACATTAGAACTAGCAGGAGACTTTCATTACAGACTCAGAGAAGACAAAACTGTTTATACTACCCATACAACAGAAGGAACAGAATCAGAAGTCAGAGATGCTATGTGTACTGCATGGTACCTTGTTCTCAGTTAATTCAATTTCCAGCTGGTTCCTCCCCTGTATTACTTCACTTGCTGTTTTTTCTATCTGCCAGATGGAATTAAAAGATCATTTTTAAATCAGTCAAAAAACCTCTCTAGTGTACTCAACCTAAAGACATATATGTATTTCTATTAGAGAATAGTAGCACAGCATCTCAGACAGAAAGTTTACAGACCAACTCTGAAAAAATTAAAATTAGAAGACCATATAGCTCAGCTATCCTCTTTCTCTTAATCACCATGCAAGCAGGATGCACTTTCCTCAATTTTCTTCCCCAACAGATTAAGCTACTATCTTGCACTAAGTTACTGTCTGTGTTCTTATTGTGTATATGATGTAGACCAGCACTGGTGATGTATTCAAGGACACTGAAATGTCACAATGGTAGAAGACCATACAGTATAGGAATGCCAAAGGTGCATCTTGTGATACATCTTTAAAATGAAAAACCAACAATGTATCCACTGTAC